TCAGAGATCTTCAAAATCTTTGGAGTAAACCGAAGATTTTTTCGTTGCCAATCCAAACAAGACCTACAACGTGACTCAAAAGAATCAACGAGTTTTTGGTACGACATCATGATAATAGCACTCACCGGTAACATCTGACAACCTTTTAGCATATTGTTGAAGCTCTCAAAACTGTTCGTGGTAAGTATCCCACATCGAATCCCACCGTCGTACGCTAGCATCCACAACTGTAGCGGAATCTCAACAAGATATGGATATGCTTGTTCACTTTGACCTCGAATTTCCTGCATACAGTCTTGGAATTCCTGGACACTTGGAGTACTCCCTGCCGACCACATGAGGTCCTTGAGTTTCTTGTTGTGAAACTTTGAATTAAAGTTACTACATATGTGACGTAGACAGAAACGCTTTACTATGTTTCCTGTTTGAAGCTCTTCCACATCGCGATAGGCATTGATGATGCCAGCATGCCTATCGGAAATGACACAAACTCTTGTCCCAACTATAATTTTTTGAGCTACCAATCGTAGAAACCATGACCAACCATCAGTACTTTCCCCATCAACTACGGCATATGCAAGTGGGAATATCTCGCGGTTTCCATTCAAAGCAACTGCGAGTAAAAGATGGCCCTTATACTTGCCGTACAAACGCGTCCCGTCAACGGTCACCACGGGTAAACAGTGCTGCAATCCATTTATAGCCACTGGAAAAGCCCAAAATGCATACTTAAAATTCACTCTAATTACGGGCTCGGCGTTCAGGTCTGTTGGTGGCGAGGTGCATACAAAATCGACCACGGTTCCTGGATAAGAAGAAACCAAAGCCTGTAGCAAAATTGGGACTTGCTTGTATGAGTTCTTCCAACTTCCGTACAATGTTTCTGAGGCAATAAGCCTAGCGAGCCAACAATAATCTGGTAATGCCCCTAAATTGTACGGAGTCCAAACAACCTGTACCATACACATAAAATATTAGTTCTTTTAAAATTTAAATTTAAATTTTGACTATCTGTAATACATACGTGTCGAAGAAGTGAGCCGTCAAACTGGTCTCGGTAGTTACGAGCAGAAAATCGAGAAGTGTCATTAAACAACCTCCGAATAAGCCACCTGCATAGCAAAGTAAACATATTCTAGTGTTGAGCATAATTAATAAATTCACATTAAATTAAAACAAGCGTACCGAGCACCATGTGGCTCATCCTCTCGAAGTGAGCCATGTCGATCATTGTTAAGCACGCGCACTTCGGGCCTCACTAGAATGATACGTGACCAAGCCCAAAGCTGTAACAACAAAGCACAACCACAAGTTGCGATACAAGTTTGCCAAAACTGCCGAACCCAACTAAATTGTGCGGTAATTTCAGGAGTGCGCAATAAGGGTAGAAACTCAACAGCAACAAACCGACCTGTAGAATTGGGGAACAAAGTACCACCTAAGAGTTGTAATATCACACTAGCTATGTATCTCTCCGCCTCCCTGTCAGTGTTACCAGGTAGAACCTGTCACTCATGTTCATTGTCAATATTATTCTCCAATGCAGCTAAATTAAATCCGGCTTGTCCAATATGTTCGCGCATCACCTCGAATCCAATAACTTCACGAAAAAGTTCAAGATATGTATTTGGATTAACCATTTCAGGAAAAACTACGGGTTCACCGTCTACTCTTAAACCTATTAAACATTCAACATCCTGTAAAGTGATACCAAGTTCACCAAACGGGAAATGAAATGCATGCACTTCGTGTAACGCCCCGAAACATACCCTAGAATTATTATTAAATAATTATTCGATTAAACAAATTTGTTTTGATTATTATTGGGCTTTGGGCCGATATGAAATATTTTTTAATATCCAATATCAAAATCTGGATAAGTCTAATCGAGATAAATCCAATATGTGGACTATTTGTGTGGTCTTGATTGGGAACCTGAGTACAGACCCAAATCAAGAATAAATAAATTAATTAATTATGATGTGAACTTTGTAATGATTTATTGAAATAAATCATGAGAATAATTGATATGAATTAAATGAGAGAACCTTTTATGAGAAAGGTCAATTAAACCAATTTTGACTCTGTTAAAGTCAAACACCCAAAAATATGATGTCGGAAAAAGTATTACAAATAATTATGAAAAGTATATCGTTGGATAGAGTTCGACTGTCTGATCGCAACGGTGCAAACCGATTTCAATTTGGAGAAAGTTGGACCAAAAAGTGTACCCCGACTGAAACCAAAATAGGTCCCAATCAGGGAACTGTTTAGACGGCGCCTCCTTCCCCACTACGTCGATCGCAGAATTGTGGAGTCACCATAGCTGTTTTCTTCTTCTCTCCTTCTCATTATATAAGAGAACAC